CAAAGAATTTATGTGCATATATACACAACCCAAGGACATGGACAATGGTGGGGAGAGGGACTGGGGAGGGGGAAGGAACGGGGTGGAACGGGTCATTGGGGAGAAAAAGGGACATCTGTAATATTTTAAACAATAATAAAACTTAAAAAAAAAAAAAAAAGTTAATAAGTCAGATTCCCTGTTCCCGAAGAGCTTAAGGTTTAAGAGGGAAGTCAGAGACAGTAAAGTTTGGCTGTATTTTCCATACCTCCAGAGCAGCACAGGACGTGCTAAGTAAAATAAGTTCTACAAAATCCAACCAGGATTTGAAGAGGGAGAAGTTGAGTCAGTTGAGGGAATCACAGAAGTGTTAATGATTAGCCCTGGGTTTTGGAGGATGGACCTGGAGTAAGTACAAAGAGAGTGGAGAGGAGAGCGTCCCAGGTCTTAGAGCACATAAGCCATGGGCATCAGCGTGTTTGGGGGAACAGGCAGGCGTTGAAGTTTGGCTGAAATGCAGGGTATAAGTAGGGGCATAGTGGGAAATGGGTCTGCAGAGGGGGGCTGGAATCATGGTTTGGAGGACCTTGACAGCCCCAGGTAGGCACACTTCTCTGGGCCCATGACTAGAACAGGGCATTCAAAACATTAATAGCTTTACTGTCTTTCTTTACAGACCACTCTGCTTCATTTTTGGGAGAAAACTTCTCACACCATGGCAGCCATCCATGAGAGCTTCAGAGGTTATCAACCATATGAATTCACTACATTGAAGGTATGAAAGCTAGAGAGACCATTAGAAAACCTTACGAAAAGTAGTTTTGTTTCTATCACAGTGTCCATTGCATCAAGCATTGTTATTCTAACAGACCCCAATCAGCAAAGTGAGAACTGTGCCCCCCAGTAGAGCCTTTTTTTAATACTCATCTGAGGATATGTTTGTTGATTTTAGAGAAAGGAAGGGAGAGAAAGAGAGAGAGAGAAAGAGAAACATCAATGTGTGAGAGAAACATTGATCAGTTGCCTCCTTTATGTGCCCTGACTGGGAATCGAACCCACAACCTTTTGGCGTACAGAACCGTGCTCCAGCTATGCTATCTGCCACCTGGCCAGGGCCCCCAGTGGAGTCTTTTTTACCGCATCAATATTCAAAGCCACAACAATGCAAATACACAGGTTGAACCTTGGGGTACATGCCACTAGGAGCTGAATTGTGGTGAACTCCAGCCTGAGGATGGGTCCTGTTCCTTTGAAACGCTGGTTTGACGTTACTGAAGAGAGGATTGTACAAGTCTAGTACACTCCGTTACTCTAATTATTCAAATATGCTCACTTGAGAAGGTACTTTTCTCCCTTCTAACAAATCGCCTTTTATTCTGTACCAGCTAATATAGAAATGGATTTTTCCAAAAGACTACAGTAATATTCCCTAATTGACAAAGCAACATCAAGCTCAGTGATTTCTCAACTCAAAAGGGATACGTATGAAACGCCTGATTCTCAGTATCGCAACTGAATGGGGAATTATTTTGCTCTCTAATGGTTGCTGAGGATGATTTGGGTTCCAAAAGGATTTTAAGAAAAGTGAGTGAACACTGGGTTGCCAGGTCATATCCTGAAAAGGAAAAGACCGGGAAAGAACGAGTTAAAGTTCACCTTGAAATTACCTTGTTTCTAATTTTTCAGGCAGTTTGTGTCTCATCATCTTACTTAATAAACATTAAAAAGCTATTTTTTTTGCCATTAAACATGATTTTGAGATGTTTGTAATGTCACTGCATCTACAAAAATACTAAGACAGAAACCCTTTAAGATCCTGGCCCTTTAAAGGAAGGCCCAAGAGGAATCCAAGACAATCCTCTCACCTTGAGATGTACCTGACCTGGCATCAGGTGGGACACCTGGCCCTGGGGTTTGCTCCTCACAGTCCTCTGTCAGCTGGTCACTTACTTGCTAACAGGCTGCATGAACGGATTCAGAATGTGCATTTTCTTGTTCTGTCAGCCTGACTATAAGCACTTGAGGGGAGGGGGCTTTTGTTTCTCACGTGCCAACTGTCCTGCACACAGAGACCCCACAGCCTTCCTCAGCACATCGCAGTGCTGCTGCTGTGGGTGAGGACTGTGTTCCTTCTCTGTGATTCACTGCTGCTTTCAGCACCTTAGAAAGCGGCTGTCCCAACCAAGGCTGATTGATTAAAATTAGAAGAAAGAAAAAAGAGGAGCACAGTTATAAAGAGTAAAACGGCAATAAATACGTACCTATCAGTAATCACCTTACATGTAAATGGCTTAAATACTCCAATCAAAAGGCATGGGGTACTTTTCTAAGAGACAGGTTTCCTCATTGCCTCTGATTTCAGCAGAATGATGCTTAAATGTTAAACAGTGATGTTTTTGCCGGGATAAATCGAAGATATAAAGTATAGTTACATGGTGAGATGCCTCTTTCATTATCTAAACTTTTTTGTAGTTTCTACGTAACTGTAAAACTGACATGAATAGTTTTGGTTTGATTTTTGTTTAAGACTGAAGAGTACATCTTATTCTCAATGTTCTAGGTAAATGAGTAAAATGTAGTTCTGGCGGGGTCCAAAGTAGACCTTAGTTGGGCAAAGATACTATGAATGAAAAAGTATTTTAAGAGTAAAATATTCTGCATTGTGAATATGTTAGTATAAAGATTTCTTTCATCCCACTTATCCCCCTCCTTTAGAATAAGCCATAGTTTACAATTGATAGATTTGTCTATATAAAAATATATATTAAAGAGAAGATATATATATATATATCTGAAAGTCATTAATTCTGCTTTGTTAGACTGCAGGTCACTTATTGCATAGAAACTGGCCTGGGCTTTACACTCTAATATACTTTACTTTTCCCAAGATATGAACGTGCTTTCTTTAAGCTGAATTTCCTTTTACTACTTAAATCACTTATGTATATCTGGTAAATTATGACCAAATTTTTGTTAGATTGCATACAGTGAATTGAAATACATGTGGTACACTACGGGATTGTTGTGCTTTTGTTTTGGTTTTCGTTGGAAACAAGGTCTGTGTAGATGGCTTGTTACTGTTAATTTAAAATGTTCTATAATGGTCCATTACCTTTTATGTTGTGTTGTTACAGATTGGGCTATATATTTAGTAAACTGAAATATGATACTTTACAATTTTGTTTTTAGAAAGGTAATCCAAAGGTAAAATGTTTATACTTTTGAATATATTAGCCTCAGCCTGTATAAAAGTTTCTTCTTTAAAGTAAACGTTTTACCAGAAACAAACAAACAAAAAGGCATGGGGTAGCTGAATGCGTAAGAAAACAAGAACCTTATACATGCTGTCTACAAGAGACCTACTTACAACAAAAGACACATGCGGACTAAAAGTAAATGGATGGAAAAAGATATTTTATACAAATGGAAATTTTTTTAAAAAGCTGGGTAGCAATTCCTATAGTCAACAAAACAGACTTTAAAACAAAGACCATAAAAGAGACAAAGAAGGACACTACATAATGATAAAGAGAGCAATCCAACAAGATTATAAAACCCTTGTAAACATGCATCCAACATAGGAGCACCTGAATATATAAAGCAAGTTTTGACGGACATAAAGGGAGAGATCAACACTAATACAGTCATAGTAGGGGATTTTAACACCCCCTACTGACATCAGTGGATAGATCTTCAGACAGAATATCAGTAAGGAAACGGTGGCCTTAAATGACACACTAGATGGGATGGATTTAATTAATATCTTCAGATTGATTAAACTTATTACAACTCACACTCTTTCTTACACAGGCCTGAGCAGAATCCTATGCTTTATTTTTTGATAAGGCAGAGAGGGGCTTTGGGTTTTTTTAATTTATTTGTTATTTTGTTACTTCTCACTTGAGGATATTTTTTTCCATTGATTTTTAGAGAGAGTGGAAGAGAGGGAATAAGAGGAGGGGAGAGAGAAAAACATAGACGTGAGAGAGACACATTGATTGGTTGCCTCCCACACTTGCCCCTATGGGGACCTGGGATCAAACTTGCAACCCAGGTATGTGCCCTCGACCGGCAATCAAACCCAAGACCCTTTGGCACGTGGGCTGACGCTCTAACCACGAAGCAACACCAGCCAGGGTGAGAAAGTTAGTTTTACGGCATGAATGCATGAATGTGCATCAGATTTTATTTTATAATACATACAACTTCAGAGGTTGACTTATGAAAGACAACTGTACATGACACAAATCAGCCAGGTAGAAGAGGAAATGATACCTACCCCCAAATACAACTTAAATGAAGCTCGGGTGTGAGGTAATTGCATATAAAGTACAATATGAAATTGAATTTGCGCCACAAGCATGGAAGAATCCTTGTGCGTATCCCCGGCCTCCTGTGCTGAGGAGAGTATGGCCCCTTCGTTTTTGCCATGACATTTAATCCTGCAGAGAGAATCCAGCTGATTACGTTAGAGGACTTCTGGGCAGAGAATTTAGGTAAAGTTTAATGGCGGTGGTTCAGGACATAATTGCAAATATTTGGGGCAGATGACTCTCCACTGCCTTTTACATCCCCAGAGCCTTCCTCAAATTATGGTTTAAGTAGCAGTTTATGGTTTAATTGTAATACAGACTCAGGAGGAGTAATACGTCTGTTAAGGTGTAATATGATTATGGTTATATCAAGAATGTTAAGTGTCCAGAAGTCAACCAAATAAACTCTGCTTTTATTACCTCTCTTGAGTGCTGTTCATCTAGAATCTCAAGCTAATAGCTAATTATTTTTACATGGATTCAAACCTGTATAGTAGAATGCTGTTATTACACAGCCCATCATTGCATAGGTGGAGGCCCTGTGCATTTCCCGTTGCATTCAGCACCCTCCGTATCACCACGCAGCCTGAGGATATTACCTGACTTACAGCCCCCTTGCACTAATACATTTTTTAAGTACATGCCTTACATTTAGATTTTCGTTGGACCAAGTCATCTTTTAATGTATATAATTTTCCTCTGGCTGGCACTGAATATTGATAATGGATACTCTGAAATTTAAGTAGATATTTTCACGATTTATTTGTTCCCTGGATTTACCTAAGTAAATAGCCCCTTAAATGCCTTTTGGGTCTCTGGTGGGAAAGAAAACATTGTCTTTGGAGAGGTTCGCCAGGCTCTGTTAATGAAAAGCAACCCATTTGTTTTCTTTGCTGCGGGGTGTATTCTGAGTGTGTTGATAATGGTGCCATCCCAGCTGTATTTCCTGACTGTTAGTTTTATGCTTGATGAAGGGTGATAATTAATGTGTTAAACACTCAGTGCATCCTGTTTGGGGGAAGAGTCTTTTGCTGCAGCATTGCAGGGATATAACTCATGCCCCAGAAGTTCAGGTTTTGTTTCTAATGAGCCTTTCTCCAGAAAATAGGTATAGTTCTTTTACAAAGTAATTTTATTATACAAGTGCATTGAAAAATATCCAAGTCACCATTTTGACATTCTATAAATAACTTGTGGTAATCTGTGTGTGTGTGGCAATAGCTTTAGTCAGGCCTGATGCGATTCTGTTGATTCTACTTTTAGTAGCACAGTCTTTTCATTTTAATTTGTGATAGATTTTTGTGGAAAACCTTAGCATTGAACTCTATGGAAAATTTAGCATTGAAATTTAGTATTAAAAATTTTCTAATCTAGTAATTTTAACAGCTCAAATTTAAAGTAGAGAGACTGTTTCTTAAGTGGTTTCCGATAAAAGAAGCAGTGCCATAATCTCGTATTTTCA